GACAGCAGGAGGTGACGGGGAGGTGACAGGGGGAGGTGACAGTGGGAGGTGACAGTGGGAGGTGACAGCAACCTCCAACTCCTGGGCTCCAGCGATCCTCCTGCCTCAGCCTCCCGGGTAGCTGGGACCACAGGCATGCGCCACCATGCCCGGCTAAGTTTTTCTATATATGTTAGTTGGCCAATTAATTTGTTTCTATTTATAGTAGAGATGGGGTCTCGCTCTTGCTCAGGCTGGTTTCGAACTCCTGACCTCGAGCCATCCGCCCGCCTCGGCCTCCCAGAGAGCTGGGATGACAGGCGTGAGCCACCGCGCCCGGCCCTTTTTCTCTTTACGATGTCGCTTTAACAGGTCAAGCACATCCGATCTCATGGCTGTGTCAGGATTCATTCAACCAGTCCCATAGTGCTACACATTTGCACCGTTTTGAATGCTGCCATGATCAATAGAATAAACAGTAGCAACATTTTCCAGTATATTTCTGGCTATTTCTTCGGGGTTACATCCCAGAAGTAACTTGCTGGATTAAAGGGTGTGAACATTGTGAAAACATTTGACACCCAGCAAATTATCTACCAGTTTATAGTTTTACCGAGTCATTACACTTTCTCTGTTGTATCAGAGAAATCTCATTCCATTATTTGCCAGCAGTGAACATTATTCTAAAGATATTTTTTGTGTGTATTATTCTAAAGATATTTTTGTGTGTATTATTCTAAAGATATTTTTGTGTGTATATATTTTTTGTGTGTATATATTATTTTTTGTGCATATATATTTTGTGTGTATTATTCTAAAGATATTTTTTGTGTGTTTACAGGCCCCCCCCAAAATTTCCTTATTGCTGTTGATTTTGCATAGGAGACATTTCAGTTTCTTCTTTCGTTATGTTATAAACCTACTAGATTCCCTTAGGTTAAATAAAGCAGGAGATTGGCACAAACAATTGAAAGTTAATCCCGTATGCATCACTTAAAGAATTTAAAGATTCTAATTAAAAAATTTGTAAGAATGAAAAAAAAAAAAAAGGAAAAAATCTATAAAAATAATTGGAATAGAAAATTTAAAGAGGAGTGTATTGTATGTGGCATTCCACGCCATTTCTGGGAGGGTGGATTATTCCAGTGGTTTTCTAAGTAGTTCTGGACTCCTTTGGTGGGTGGGGCATAGGAACGGGCTTGCTGGAAAGAGTTCTCGTTGGAAATCTGTTCCCGTTGCATCTTAACGAGCATGGCATGGGCTTGTTATACGTGAGAGGGTGGGTCTTGTCTTAAGGATGACCCTCAGTGACCCCCAAAGTCAGCGATGGGCATGCCATGGAATCTTCTGGTTTAAGGCGGGCAACAGTGAGGGCCGGGATGCCCTGTCCGGACCCCCCCCCC